GTAGAGTCCCAGCATCTGCATGCCTTGCTGGGTCTGCTTTTATCCGACCCAGATTTTCCCTGATTGTTAATGCTCAGTGGCATCTTGGCTTTGGAAAAAACATAAACAACTTCTCACCTCCCTTCTGTCCCTTAGATCAGGTCCTTGAACATCCAGAGAGCGCTGATTTTATTTTCCCATAATGGTCTGGATTTACTTTCCTTTTTTATGATTATTACCCCAGGTCCACGTAAATGACACTGCCCTATTTTTTTTTTTTTTACCGAGTTATAAATTTTGATGGCTGCCAGTGCCAGAGGAATCAGAATAACTGCTCTAACATTGGTTTTTGTGTAGTCTAAATCTCAGGGCTTTTTTCCCTGGGTTTGCTGAAGAAAATGATGCCATATGCCATACTGCACCCTCCTTTAAAAAAGACAGTATGACTTGTACTATGTTTTATCATTGGCAATCAATCAATCAATCAAACCAAACAAGAAAACTTTACATTCTCCTTCAATTACCCATTATCAATCCAATGAAGACCAACATATGATGAAATGAGCTTCATTTAAAGCAGAAAGTTTGCAGATAAACATTTCATAAAACTTTCTGGAGCATTGGGGGGCAGAAAACACTAAAAATGGGCTATTGGAATGGGTTAAATGCCTTCAATTCTGAACATCTTAAAGAAGAGACAAAATTTTGCAGGAGGGGGTGATTTAATCATTCACTTTTCCAAATATAAAAATAGAATCAATGTTCTTTCAAAACACTTTCAAGTTATAAGAGTGTGATTTGGTGGAACAGTGGTGTTGGGGAAGGAAAATGCATGGGGTAAAAGCAGGTAGTTCTGCATCATTGTTTTTTGTTTGTTTGTTTCGTCTTGTTTTCTGCTTTTTTTTTCATCATAGAATTTTTTTATTGAGTGGACACTGGGTGCTCCTCTAGGTACTTGACCCATAGCAACAAAGCACAGCATTTCTAGGACTTGCCCTGCTGGCGTTATGAGGTCTCTTATCAACTTCTTAAACTCATCACAACAATTTCTTATTTTTAACTATTAATGGGGAATATCAGAAATTGCATATTCAATTTTTTTTACTAAGAAAAATAATTCAAGTGTACTTGATGTATGACTTACCTTTGAAAAAAATAAACATTTTTGGTTAATTTATATGATGTTGAAAAGACAATGATTCCTTTACTTTTGGTTTCACCACTGATGTAATGTTAAGTAACATCTTCTATGCACTATGGCTTATATAATAAATATGGTAAAAGGTAATTTTTCCGTTACGTCCTCCTGTGCTTTGAGACACATTATATCCTCTCAAATAGAAAACTCTACTGGCCTGCATGAGGAAAGCCATTCTCCTGAGTTACTCACAAGGATAAATGTAAGTGACTATTCACATATAGATTCTCTGGCAGCTCACGTGTGTGGCTGCATTTTGCCACAGAGCACCTGTTTATGCAGTTCCAGAACGCAAAGTTACTGTGTGTGCACTCTCCCTGACTGGCTTCACCACTGACTGCAAGAAGTTTAGCATGCTTCACCTGAAAATAGGAATAATTTTTCCCTACCAGCATGGAAGCAGGAGCAGCACCTTTAGGGATCTCTTTGAACTTTATGATTTATCAAGAATCATATTGTTCTCTTTCATAGTGTAGTATTTTCCCCAAGGAGCTGTAAAATGGGAGCAACTTCAGTTTACTTTGACACAAGTAAACAGCTAAGCCAAAAACAACAACGAAAACCAACAAACAAAACACAAGCACATGAAAGACAAAAAAATTAAGAACAAAGCAGTAAAAAAATGAGACTCACAGACCCATATCTTTACAAAATATCTATAATTGCAGCAAATTTGGAAAGATGCAATTCAGATTTGGGGAGAATGGGGATAAGAATGATTGTCATTCCTAACATAAACATGGAGGCTGTCGATCTTTGGATCCTGAGAGATCAGTTACCAGACTCTTCTTTTACGTTTTGCAGATAAATACAATGGGTACACAGGGGCTAGGTGTTTTTTAACCAATGTCTTGTGGTCTGTTTGCTCTTGACATGGGTTACACACCCACATCTCTCCATTTCACTTTCAGCAATGGGTGCTAGTTCTTGGATTCCTCTTGCCTCATCTGCACACTGACTGGCACATTTGTGAGGAACAGAAAACCAGAGGGGTAATACCTCCAAGAGTTTCAATGATGAGACAATTACATGCTTGCAGCATACATTTCATATTCTATGTGTTATGAAGTTTCTCCTACTCTGTTAAAAAAAAAAGTGTGACATGTGACAGTAGGATGGCATGGTTGCAAATGTCCCTAACTATCATGGTGATAAAAGTCTGAAAATAAAAATATTGATTCTGGGAATCCAGCATGCATTGACTCATATATGAATACTTCAACTTGTCACATTTCAATGACAGGGGCAGTGTGCAGAGTTACATCCTGTTCTATAAAATTCAACCTGTTTCTGGTACTCAGGAAGCACTCACAAGCACACATCAACACTAGTGATTACAATGCTGAATGATGCTGTTTTGACTGAAAGATCTTTAATGGCTAAAGGTATCCAGACAGGCATATCCAAATTAATATTTAAATACTGCTATCTTCAATCTATCCCTGGGAAGAAGTACACACCAATCAGATCTTTTTCTGCCTAGCAAATATAAATATCCAGTGTCTCTGAATTTCTGAATGATAGAGAATATAGTTCTTCATTTTGGCTGCTAAAGCTAAGTAAAGGGTTTTGTTTTTCATTTTTGTTTTTTTTTGTTTGTTTTGGTTTTGGTTTTGTACCATTGAATGGTACAAAATGGGAATACTGGGACTTCAAATGATGTCTTCATTTGAAGACATGGGACTTCAAGGGACAAGGGACTTCAGCATTTTTAGCCACCTGACATGTCTAAATGGGCATATTGCTGAACCTTAAACAACAGAATTCAAACCAACAGACTAAAATGACCTCCAACAGCATGTTTTTTTCTTCTTCAAGTACATTAAGACGAATTCAATAAAGCAGAGTAACATCTGAGATGGAACTTACTGGAGGGAAACATAACAGAAGCAGGTGCTCTCACCACAGCTGACCTTGGCTCCAGCTCAAGCAGTGTATGTCCTCCAGACCCATCGACATGCTCCTACAACTCCCTGCACTTGTGATCAATTTAACTGAAACGTCTGGAGAAAAAAACCTGCCATAAAACACAGCCGCGACGTTTCCCTTCTGACTTGCACAAAGTTTATCACATGTTCAGGCCATATGATAATTTCATAACGACATGAAATTTGCATGAAAGGATAAAAAATATTATTCCATCTTATATACACCTTTCTGCCAGAAAGATTCATAAATCCTGCCTGAAGATAAATTAAACTTTGGCATGGAATATAATTTATGAAAATTACAAACTACTTGAATTGATTTCACCAAAAAAGACATTAAATCTTGATGCCTAGCAAACTTCTTCAGAGAAATGAAATGTGATGTTTAGAGTTAAAACAGCAATATAAATTTTCAAAAATATTTTAAGAGTAAATCATATCACTCATGAAGGTTATTAATTAAGTAAATGCCTTATAATCATAAAAATGCTTTTAATCACTTATAGTTTCTGCTAGATGGGTAAAACATGACAGATGAAGAAAGAAATATGATTCCTCTTGAGAAGACAAAATATAACATATTCTGTTACTTTTTTTTTCTTTTAGCTGGTATGCTTTTAGGACTGCTTTTGTCAGAGTTAAAAGTTGCCCAAAACCAATTTAAAGAAAACTTGTAAGAAACCCCCATTGATTACTTACAGCCTTTCATTACTAGTAGTAAAGCTCTGTTAGTGAGAGTTGGCTAAGTAAATAAATAAGGAGAGAAAATTGAATCTGGGTTGACTGGAAAATTTTGGACCTTACTTATATCACTGTTCTAAACATCTGAACTTCAAGTTTTATAGAAGAACAGCTTCTTAGCTTTGATAATATTACAATGGCCCTAATATTTACAGCTATAATTTGTACTTTAAGGATTTACAAGCCCTGTTCAACCTACTTGCAAAAAATCCTTTCTAATTTATAGCTATGAGGCTGACCTTTCCTACCTTAGACTCATGTGGCTAAATTCTCTTCCTCTCTATTGCTGTTTCTCCATCTCTCTTTTTACACACACACACACGCACACACAGCTCTTTGAAAAGTATTGTCATTGCACAATTTATCTTTCAATTCCCATCATCCAGCAAGGCCCCTGACTTGTTTTCAGTGCTTCGTGACTATTTATGGAATGAATGAATGGACTCAATAAGTGACATTTGAAACTTTCCGGTCCCCACTATAAGCACTGGCAGTCAGTTCAGAACAACTTGTCTAAAGGACTGATTCTGAGTCTCAGGAGGAACTTCCTAATGAAGGGATGTCAACCCAGGGAACCAGGCCTGCTTTTTTGTGCACATGTAAGGAAGCTGCTCGAATGATGTGATTTCAGGCAGCATCAAAGAAGCCTGTGGAAAACAATAGTGCCTTCTCCCACCATATGACTGGTGACACATCCCTTTGAAATTCTGTAATGTATTTTATTGTACAGTTATCAATAATTATCAGGAATCAGGTATCACTAGGAAGGGTGTGATGTGTGGCTCACTGATTTAGAGGCAACACCTACTAAGGTGTAAATAGCTGATATATTCTTTTTCTACAGGTAGATTTTGACTATAAGAATGAAAAATAATAAGGGTCTTTGGACATCTGAAGATAATATGTACAGGGAGAAAAGAGACAAAGAGTCTGAGACCACCTCAGAATTTCTAAGAGGTGGCATAATCTCTTAGTGCTACGGCTAATGAAACTAGAATGGAAGAATTTGTAAAATGAAATCTATAGTTATAAATGCTTTATGACATATTTTAACCATCCCTCAGGTCTGAAACAAAATCGTAATCTTCCCTGGGCCTGGCCACACAGAAGTGTTGTAGGGTGTTAGTACAGAGGGGACTCAAAATGTCCCTTACCTACAAACAACTGGCTGTTCAGCTGCAATCGGAAATGGCCTTCCTCCGAAGTCTCCCTGGTCATCCTTGGGAGGCTGTCCACCTGGAGTGAAGTCTCCTTGAGGTTCCTCTCAGCCCGGACGTAATGCCATTGGTTGTCATTCAGAAGAGAAGGAGAGTGAACTATGAGCTCTACGGGGCCATTCCCAACATCAATGGCAAAAGTGATCTCAGATGGAGCTGAAACCAAAAAGGGAAATGGGTAGGAAGATGAGGGGAGGTGTCAGTCAGTGCATTGAGATCACAGGCGCACCCTGAATGAATGGTATAAATAACTACAAGTCAACACAAGGTGAGGAGGTCTTCATTTGAAATCTCTGCATATTAAAATTACCAATTAGTTGTGAAAATTACTAGATACTAAGTCCCAAACTCTTTTTTTGGTCCAGTTGATACTCATTGTGAGAATTCAGGAAATAGGATAGGGGCCAGGGCCATAGATGCCAATCTGATAAACATGAATCAGTGCAAAGCTCTGGGGTTTCTGGGTCTATTCTGGCTTCAAGTGTGTTTTCATGGATATCTGTAGATACCAGATTAGTGAGGCTGCTACATTCCTGTAGGGAGAGGATTCATACCCTTGAAAGTCCAGGGTTCTCCTCTATGTTATTTCATTAATTCATGTGATTATAATCATTCATGCTATTCTTATGACTTTTTTTTTCTCTATTTCAAGGAGACTCAGAAAGTTTAAGTGCTTGTCTCAAGGACATATCACTGTAAGTAGTGGTGCCTGGGATCAAACATAAGCCCCCTTCCCCCTTCCATGACTCTTTCTACCTTTCTATAAAAATCTGCATATCACACATTCCAGGGGTCAGCCAGTCAGGAGTAATAATACCAATGACGATGATGATGATAGTGGTAGTGGTGTGGGCAGTGGTGGTGTTGGTGGTGATGATGGTGGTGGTGGTGACATACCAATTGAGGGACAGAGAGAAAGAGAGAGAAGTAGCAGGAACACAATAGGTACAATGAATTCTGCTGAGTGGTATACTAAATACTGACCAAAGATTCTGTCATTTTAATTCTCAAAATAACCCTATGAGAAGGGCATCATTTTTATTCCCATTTTATGGGTAAGAAAACTTAAGTTCAGAGAAGTATAATTTTCTCAGTTTCTCAGACAAGACAAAGAATCTGACTCCAAAAGTAGAATTCTTCATTTTTCTCTGTTGAGTATGTCTTTTTGTATCTTCCATTATTACATAAGAATTTTTCTTAAATCTGAAGGACGTGGAGAGGCAGATTATAAATTGATGTTGATGAGAAAACAGTGCCCTTTCAGTCACTGGAGCCTTCCTACAACAGATTTTCCCTTCCTTCTCGGCACCTTGGGCAGCCCCCTCTCTTTTACACCTAAAATAGGACATGGGTATTTATTTGACAAAGTCATCAACTGAATTATCAGTAATACCAAAGGTCAAATAGTACCCTGGACCACTCCCTCCTCAGCCTTCAAGCCCAAACAGAAAACCAGCCTTTGTATAAGAAGCCCACAGTAGGTGGGATTTCAAGTAACTAAAAGCTTGAATTGTTTTGCATTCTGGTCAAGGTGAGCCCTGACCTAAATTAAGAGAGGCAGGAAAGTAGAGGCCTGAAAATGGGATTTGAAAGCGTGGACCCTGAAGCCACGTTTTTGATCTTGTCACGACTCAATTTTCTCATTTATAAAATGGGAATAAAAATAGTGCCTGTCAGGTTGTTTATGACTTAATCCTGATGAAGTTCATAGACCCATGCCTGGCACATAAGATGTACTCAAAGTGATAGCTATTGCTATTACTATAGTGGCACGGCTGACCAACTCAGCCACATGGCTTTGGCTCATAAACCCATGCATTAAAGGAGACAGAACTGAGGCAAACAAATTGGGTTCAACAATTAAAAGATTAAATAAGATGAAGTTGGCCCTTTGAGCCATTTCCTGTTTCTTATTCAGGCCACAGATGCCACCTTGCAGCTCTGCACTTCTTGAGATCAAATAAACATTAACTGCAAGATAACTGGGACCTCAATTTATTTCTCTCTACAAAACAAGGGTAAAGATTGGTGAGAATTGGAGAGGAAAAACGTTAAAGATTTTGCTAAAAGCCTTCCTGCAAATCTGGTCTTGTGGATATTACGTTCTACGTAGACAGCACATCTTTATGGGGCTCTGGCTCTACTGCTGCATCTACCCACCATCCCCTGTCACACCTTCCTTTGTAGGGTTCCTGTACAGGCTTATCCCTGCTCCAACTTTATCCCCCTGTTGTACAATCATCTTTTTATGGTCTGTCTCCCCAACTAGTCTGCAAATTCTAGATGAACAATTCACTTTTTGGACAGCTGGCACCATGGCTTGTATATAGGAAGCTCTCATTCAACCAAAGGCTCATTGATTAAAACAGTACACCATACATACTAAATACAAGTTTGTAATTTTCTTTAGATTTTTTTTGTTTTGTTTATACCAAGACATTAACTTCCTTGAAAAATATTTTAATTAATTATTGGTTTAATTATTTTTAATTTTATTAATTTATTAATTAAATTATTAATTGATTTATTAATTGATTTATTAATTTTAATAATTAAATATTTTTAATTATTACTATTTAATTTTATTTAGGTTACTATTAAAGACATACTTTGTTCAGCCCATTCCTCCTAGAACTGGGGGACAATCAGTAAAATGCAGTAATCAGAGCTAATGTTTATTGAGTGCTTACCACAAACCAGACACTCTGCAAAGCATTTTTCATGAATGAACTCCTTAATATTTTAAGCCTCACTATACTCTTATGAGACAGGTAACATACTGCAGCTGAGAGAACTGAGCTGACAAGTTCCTCCAACCCAGATGGAGCAGAATCAAGATTTAAATCCAGGTGATGTGCCTCTGGAGCTCATTTTTAACCCACTCTTCCTATCCAAAAATATTCTTCCCCCAAACCTATGCAGTGCCCCGGGGGGGTCAAAGCTAGAATATATAATAGAGGTGCCTGGAAACAAGTGAACAATAATAACATAAGTAAATAAGTGATACTTCCAACATTGCCTAGTGACTCTGAGGATGGGGACCTGATGCAAACCAAAGTCTGCTCTCCTTTGCTGGAGGGATGGTGAATTACCCAATGGCCCTGGAGGGGAAAACCAGGAGCCCTGTGTCAGCCCTTAGCTCCAGCATGAATTAACCCCTGGCCTTTCTTTCTCCCACCTGTTTGACAAATATCTTCCCTCATCATTTACTCCCTTGTGGTTCAAGACAAAAGTATAGAGTCACTTAGCCCTTCAGTAGGTTTTTACCAATCCAGGTCTTGTGTTAGACCCTGAGAATGCACAGATGAATGAAACCCAATGAGCTCACAGTGTACTTTCAAGATTGACAAAGAAGGAACGTGCTAAGTGGAGGAAAGTGCTGTAAGTTCAAGAGAATGTCTACTAAGTTCTTTTAGAAGATGAGAGGCTTTCTGAGTAGAGGCTCCTATTTAATGCTCTCCCTTCCTAGAAACTCATGTCTATGTCCTCCACCCTGACCCCATGTTGGGCATGAGACAGATCGCAGGGACCATTTATGGACAAAGAAGAAGTCACTTACCCTCTCTGATCTTCTGTGCATACATCTATATAAAGGGAAATATGAACTACATGACACATCATTAAATATTTCTGGAGATAAGGCAACTCTAGAAGAAAGCACATACACTTTGCATAAAATTTCGAGGACTTCCTGAATGTCTTACATTTCAAATCACAGAGAAAAATAATTCTATTTTCTCTGAATCCTAACATTCTTTGGTTTTGAGGCAGTCTTGCAAAACAGAATAGGGAGTTGGACTAAGGAAGAAAGAGGTAGATTGATCCTGGATCCTGACTCTTACTAGCTGTGTAACTCTGGGTGTGTTACTAAGTCTCCCGAGGGTCAACTTCCTCATCTATACATTGGACTAGGAGTTGAACAATGAAAATCATAGTGCAGTATCTTGATGATCATCAATAGGATTGTTTGAAAAAAAATGAATAATAAATGAAAAGCATGTAATACAATGTCTAATCAGAGTAGACACTAAACAATTTAGTTTTAGTGTTACATTTTATATTATATAAATGTATAAATTTAATTATTAGTAGTATTAACTTTACCATCTCTGAGGATCTGAGGATTATTTGGTAATATTTTTTTTTGGTACTTTCTTCATATGATACTGCTGAGCATCACAACTCAAGTGTCTCCCTTTTTCCCCCATATATATGTATATCATATAACAAATACATATACATATATATGTGAAATATGTATTTCTCATTCACTTATTCCATGGGCTTGAAAACTAGCAAAATACACCACTCCAGAATATGCTACTTTAAAATCAGGACGATTTTGAGCTGAAGGCAATTGAGAAGAAGCAGAGACATGGAAAGCTCCCCGCTCTCCCCGTTTGTTTAAAGCAGGACATAAATTTACAAAGATAACTCTCCTCCCTTCTCTACCAGAAGGACAAAAGTTAATTGCCTGGAGACAACTTCATTTTTTTAAGATTTTATTTATTTATTTGAGAGGAAGAGAGAAAGAGAGAGAGAGCATAAGCAGAGGAAGTGGCAGAAGGAGAGGGAGAAGCAGACTGCCCACTGAGCGGGGAACCAGATATGGGGCTTGCTCCCAGGACCTGGGGATCATCACCTGAGCTGAAGGCAAATGTTTAACTGACTGAGCCACCCAGGCACCCCTTGAGACAACTTTAGACCCTAACGGTCTAGAGATGGCATCAGAGGGATCTGCATAACAAACTTTACTAACTAGACTTTATCACTATTCTTGGAAACTTAAAACTGCCTTCCTTTGTCTATTATTTCTCCATAAATTTATTCTCTGTTGAACATGCTATATAATAAGCTATAGTTCTAAGCCATCTCTTTGAGTTACTCATTTTTCTCAGTGCATCTCCCATGTACACACAATGTGTGCATGTTAGTAAACTTCTGTTTAGTTTTTCTCTTGTTACTCTGTCTTTTATTACAGGGGTCTCAGCCAAGAACTGAGAAGTTAAGAGGGACATGATTTTTCTTCCTTTACAGAATTTAGAGAGAGTTAGACACCCACCCCCCACTCCACCCCCATCCAGGTGTAAAGATGGGCCCTGGCAATACCACTCTGCAGTCTTTACTTCCATGGCCAGAGGCATTGGTCAGAGGTGTTCAGGTGTTGCACATCAGGAGTTTCACCCATCAGCTGAAATGCAGCTCTCCCTTGAAGGAGAGCTAGCTTTAGACTGAAGAAGGTATTCAGAAGTCAGTGCAGGGAGAGAAATAAATTGAATCCAGATAACATTATGAAACTGATGAATCCAACCAGAAATAAAGTGTCTCATCAATTCTGGACTTAGTCACATGTCCCAGTACCAGTGAATCCCCATCCTTGTGTCTACCAGTTCAAATCAAATTTTATTTAATTGTAGCCAAATACATCTGATTGGCATCTGGGTATCATAAACCCCATTTTGCATAAGTAAGCATGAAGGGGGTGAAGAACATGCTCAGGATTAAACTTAGAGTGATGGAAATTTGAATCCACCTGGGGTTCTAAGTAATAGGCTCTTTCTGCTACACCACACTAACTCTCAACAGACATTCCCCTCTGCTCCTCCTCACCCACTCCAAAATATGTTTCCATCCTCACAGCCATTGTGAGATAATTGTCAAAATATCTCATTTTTTCCCTCAGTCTCATTTGAAACAGTTCCACTAAGACCTGACACTGTGAAATGTCTTGTTTCTCATAGAATATGGACTAATCTCAAGGCTACATAACTCACACATTTTAGTTGGAAGTGACCCAGAAGGAAATGGACTGAAAATTTCATGAAGACTTCTTGTTCCCTGTTGAACAATATGGATATATCAACTTTGGAAGCTTCTGTTCAGATAGTTATACAGAAATACTCCTTAGAGATGGAAGAGAAATCTAATCCATTCTGTTTAAAGACCATTCCCTTTATAAGTAGCTGATCTGTAGAAGTATCTTGTTATGAACCCCTTAGGCTGAAAATTTTATCTATAGAAAAGGCATAGGATGAGTGTACCTGTTAATAAGAAATGCAAGATCCCTTTCAATTTTTTTCTTTTAAATGATAATAGTAAAATACAATATTTTGAAAAAATGAAGTCTTGTACTTTAAAATTTTTATATAAAATCTTCTTGTTTTAAAAAATATATGTCCTTCAACCTGGTGAAAAAGTGTATGGCAAACAATCATATCAATGGATTTTTAAATTTTCATCAAATTAAATACCATCTGCATTTAAAACATTTTTGTATAACCCAAAGGACAAAATACAGTATCAGAAAGTACAAACAAATCGGACATTGAAATGTAATTAACACTAAATCATTGCTCATTACCTTGTGATAATATGCCATGACATTTGCTGCTGCTTTAATGAATCAAAAGGCCTTAGGGCCTGATTTTTATTAAATTCACATTGAGGTTATTATAGCCATATTATGCAATGGTTGGCACTCAACCCCACCTTTTCAGAGCCTGGCTAAGTTAGATAGGAGAGATCTTATTTCACAATAAAGCCACAAGAGCTTCCTCCCATTAATAGTCTAAATCGTCAGAGTAAAAGGAGCTTAAAGCTACCAATTAAAGAGATCTCTTTCCTTGTATGTATTGTTCTATAACTGCAAAAGAAACACTTAGCTGTTTGGTGATTTGCAGGGGGCTGGTGCAAACACCTCAGTCGTCTCCGCCAGCTAGCACTTTTGTTTCTTTCTCTGGAGCTCTCAAATTTCCAAGCTCCTGTTGCCAAGACGTTACTTATGTTTTTAAGGGTATTTCATGAAGTCACATCACTATCACAGTATGGGTCAATTGCCTTCATCAAACTATGGAAAACATCCGTGTAGACACAGATAAATGAGACATCTAATGGCAAGCCCAAGTCATCATGGTCATAGGCATAACAAGGGCAAGTTGGTGGGAGCAGTCCATCCATGTATAAGAAATAAGGGGGGGCAGTGAGTGCAGAAAACCAGAAAGCCAGCAAAAGCAACTAAAAGTAGATGCTTTTATTATTGCCACGCACCAGAAATTCTAAACAGTATCAGTGAAAAAACATTCCTCCACCAAAAAAAGTTTTTTATTGGTCTAAGTTCTAACAAATGCTGATGTCAGTATGAATTTTTAATAATGTATATGTAAGCCTCAAGCACATTTTATTGCTTACCACTTAATAAATATTATATTCAAGAGGGAAGTTAATGCAGACAACTTCAGATACACCTTTGGCTCCTGAATATGCACACTCAAATATATGGGCTTAGTTTTAAGAGTAAGAATTCAGCTTCTGATTCCTCATTTTTACAATTACTGCGCTATCCTTGTTTAACTCAAATCTACTGTTGAAACACATGAATACACATTATCACAGGGCTTGTGGACACAGATTGCACCCAAAGAGAACTCACACAACTGCAAAACTTTAGCAGTTATATAAGATTTTACCAAACAGAATAGTAACCTGTGATGAAATTTCTGATGAAAATATTTTAGTGAATTTTTTGTATTGATTGCAGAGATATTTAAAAGTTGCTAGAATTGATCCTGAAGAAATCACGTGGAAAGAATCACAATTTCTGGAATTTATTATAAAATAAAATATTTTTATGACTACCAAATTTATCTTTATGTTTAAAAGCTTTCCTAAAATTTACATGTCTGTTGCTTAATGTGAAAAAATTATTTTAAATTTAAAATTAGTAAAACTATCCTTTGATCGATATAAGATAGATGGGCAAATCTGATTATACTCTGTTTTGAACATACATATGTGAAGACAATTGATTTTGATGAATTCATCCACAAATTTGCAGAAGTAAAGTTGAAGGAACAGAAATTTTAATATGACTATTACTGGAACAAACCAATATACGGTATGTTTTTGTCCCTTTTATTTAGAAAAAAAAAGGACTAATGTAATTAGGAACCATCATGTCTTTTCTTTTTTGTAGTGGAATTTTTTTATTGGCATTATTGCATGTAGGTGTTCAATATTAGGACATTTTGCCATCTACATTTCCATTATTCTTCATTTAACTTTGTAATCATTACTGAATAGAACTTGTATATAGGAGATGGGATGTTAGACAATGATCCATATCCTGGCGTCAAATTCTTTAGCTACACTGCTGCTTATAGTGAAGTAGTTGAAAAGCAATGGAAATTCTGTAGTCACACACTCCTAATGGTGGGAAATAAATCAGGAAGTTACTTTCAGAGCAAAAGTACAACAAAAAGTAGATCCTAAATATGAATAGAATGCATAATAATAATACATTAAGCTTTCCATGGAAATTGAAGTGAAAAAGTTCTGGGGTGTGGAAGCTTAAAAGTCAAAGGTAAGCAGTACCCGCGGACAAAGCACACTGTAATAGATATCTATGAGAATTTGAAGAATGCACTATTTTGAAGAGAGAACGATTAAATACCGATAGGCAATAAAACATATGCAATAAAACAAAAAGCATTAGAAGGAACTAGAAATTATCATGACTAATTTTACAGATTTCCAGAGGCATTAATTTGATAGTATCAACATGTACTAGTTGTTTGTGGCAAAGATAAGACTCGGACTTCTGTTGACATTATGTTAAATTCATAAGTGAGGGCACTTACAGCTAATTTCAAGTCGGATGAAGTCTTTCATGCCAAGGTTTTCTAGGAAAACTCCCGATAGAGCCGTGGTTTTAAAAAAGAAGGAAATATCAGCACTGAACTCCGCATGGAAAGTAGGAAAGTGGAGGTAAGAGGCTTCTGTATAAAATGACACCGCATTCCAGAAGTACCCTGCAAATGAAAAAACCCTTAAGCATGGTTCATTGTTTTAGAATGGGATGTAGAAAAGCACTGGGCATGTGAATAATTTTCAAGACTGAGGGACATTGCAGGGAAAAGGGATAGGGAATAAAAACATCTTGTGCTTATGTAATGAAGAGAGAAATCTTCTTTCGATTTAGTACTCACGGTCTCCATAGCAACGCAAGGGACCAATTCTCCAAGCAGCTTCTGAGTTTGATCTGTTGGTGTCAGTGATAACTATCTGAGTGACAGGCAAGTGGTCTTTGAAGGAAAGAAAGCCAGTATCATTTGTCCTGCAAAACATAAATTTAAGAAAAGAGAGAGAAAATGTGGATAACATAGGGGCTCTTTTACCAAGACTCCTCTTTTCCAAGGTGATTTGGGTGGTTGCAGCAGCAGGGTGTGAGGCCAGGGAGGGGAAACCAGAAGGCTTTTCATCTCATAAGCATATGCAAAAAACTGGAATGCCAATTACAAAACCCTTGGCCACCTTCCAAAAACCAGTGGAATTTACATTTTCCCTGTCTTTCCGGAAACACAGGTAATTTACAGAGCTTCCTATTGCTTGTTGTAGTTGACAGCACCCCACCTGCCCAATGCCTTGTTGATGTAACATTAAACATCAGCTCTCTTTCCACAGAGATTGGCTATCTCAGTAACTAACTTGAAATGGGCACCACAAATCTCACTTGAAATCACTCCCAGTACTTGTTCCAGCCACTTGCCTACAGGTTTTAATCAGATTGGGATGTTTCTTAACACATTTTAACTCTAGGTAAAAACAAGTCTTTAGAGTTACCTGTTTGTTGCTTTTCATTTTGCTCTATATTTTAAAGATCTTGGGAGTTAATGACTGTCTTTGTTAATTATGAAAATAGATAACTAGTCACCCTTTGGCAAAAAAAAAATTAAAAAAAAATAGGGTGAAGCTATTGTTTTTCCCTTTTTTAAAGCTGTGTTTTCGGACTCATGGTAAGGAATATCATTCAACTGAGAGAAGAAAAGTGTGGAGAAGAAACCTGTATTGAATGAATAACTATTCTGAGCCAGAAATATACTAGGGGATAAGGATATTTTTCCCACACAACACTCTTGTGCAGTGGGTACTATTATTTTCATTCACAGATGAGGAAACTGAGTCTAAGATAGATAACAGATATTTTTTCTAAGCTCACAGGCACAAGAGGCAGGGCCTTGATCACATACATGGTATCTACCCCATGTCTAAATTTAACAAGCATGCCAAAAATAGCCATGTCTAAATTTAACAAATATAAATATATTTGTACGCTTTGAAGAAGCCTGTATATTATGTGCTAACATTTCTTTCTGACATGATAATTTGAAACTCATGACTAATAAAAGACTGAAATTTCTGAAAGAAGCCGAGGGGTGGGGAATACAAAATACGTTATATTACAGCAAGTCTTGAAATAGTAACCACAATTTTTCAAAGCCTTTTTAAGTGTGCAAGGTGAACTTTGCTTTGTTGTCTTGCTCCATTTAACTCACCCAAACATCAGGTGGCCTGCTAGAAAAAATGATGAGACATTTTCATTTCCATGTTCCATCCATCAGGTGTGCTACCAACTTTAAATGATGAGCTGAACTGAGTCATATGAGGTAGTCTGAAAACTGCACAGAGTGGGACTCCCCACCCACCACAGCCTTAGTTAAGGACAGGATGGATCACCTTGCTGGTGCATGGGAATTGGCCAATATTCAGGGCAAAGTATATAATGTAGCAATTTTATAACAAGAACACAAAGGAGCAGATTCATATTGGTTCTCTCTCTGTAGTCACAAAGAAATCAATAAAACACTCAACACACACTCAAAATCAATGTTACATTTCATCATCATTTACATACCATTTACAGCTCTGAGTTTAGAGACCAGAAAATAATATCCCAAATTCTTAACTGGGGAGGCATGGCGGGAGTCATGTGATGTGATGCTTTAAGGACTTAGCTTCAGAAGCACACATATTTGTTCTGGAATCCCAAGTCCCGAGGTCCTAGCTGTGTTAGGTTGGGCAAATCATTTTATTTCTGAGATTCCCCAGTATCCTCAATTTTAAAGTGGAGATAAAGCCTATAACACAGAGTTACTGAGAGAATTAAATGAGATCATATAGTCACTTAGCATGGTGCCCGATCTATGGTAAATGCTCAAAAATGGTAGTGGCAACACTCATTTTAGTTCTTATCTTTGTCCCTAAAACCTCTGTGGTCTTAGGCAAGTCAATCCATCTTTTTATGCATCCAGTTATAATTCTATATTGGAGATCTCATACTACAAAGAACATTGTAGAAAATTAAATGTTAATATTTGGTCTCCAACTCATGAGATTTGGAGAAAAACATATCAATTCATCTTGGTTATAAATAAATAAAATAGTCACCTGCACACATACCTTTCAGGTCAAGTAACCAAAAAGGTAAAGAAATGCACTATCCATTTTCTGTTATTTGAGTACCTGTATTTAGAGGCCATTCAAAGGATCAGGAATAAGACTTTTGTTTCTGTTTGAAAGAACATCTATGAATGTTACAAAGACACAGAATAAAATTTGACTCTTCATAATTCAATATCTTTTCAAGCAGAGATTTCAAAGTAAATTCCAAGTAATCAAAGTCGAATAAAGACAAACCCATATGTAATGCTGAAGAAACTATATTGCTCTAGGATTTTGTTTCTCTCCATTTTTATTTTCAAGGTGAAAATGGTAGATTCTGAAGTCTATCAATGCTAACTACTGTTTCCCTTACCCACTATGGCATCTTGTCTGCATCAATTTGATGCCCTGTGTCAAAGCGTTGGGATATACAAATAGCACTCGAAGAATAAAAATCTCTTCCAAGTAACAGATAAAAAAAATTATATTTAATTTGATAATGCAAGGCACAATACCAAAAATACATTTTTTAGATACAAACTCAAATTCCTGCAGGGGCCAGATGAGTAATAAAAACAGTGAAGCCAGCTTTGCTTTGGATAACAAATGGAACCTGACATATACCTTCATTGTCAGAGGGAGAGAGATGGGGGGGGAGGGAGAGAAAGAGAAAAAGAGAGAGGGAGAGAAGAAAACTGGTAGAAAATGATTTTTTTTTTTTTTTGGCTAAAGGAAACAGTGATATTCATTAGTAACAAGTAATAATGCTTTTCATGAATGTCAAACAAGTGGGTCACGTAAAACTTCCCAAATTTTTAATCTTGACAATGGATTTAAAATTCTAAAAAGAATAAAAAGAGTATGATGGGAGCCAACACTGCACAGGCCAATAAAATGCAGATGAGGGTTGGGGTTGTGTTCAGCTTATGAACAAACTAGGCATCAAGGATACTTTACATATTTATTCATTCTCTTAAAGTCACAGTGAGAATAAAATTGGATTTAATTCAGATTGGGAGTGACAGGTATGATTCAAACATTTCAAACATCAATGGTAGAATATTTGGAGGGGTGGATGATGGAGTGGAATTTAGAGTACAAGATGATATACAGCGATACAAATTAGGGTGGTACCCATTGATAAGCAGGGAGTCTACAGCCGTACATTTCTTTCTGCACATTAACTTGTTTTCCCTTCTCTTTTGTTTGAACTTCCTTTCTCAAGGGCAAACACTTTATAGACTTTGTCTTCCTTTGGAACAACATACAAGATGCTTCCTAAGGGTACAGGGTACTTACGTACTTTATAAGTGCAGAAATGGTTATGTTGTAGTGAAAAAGCTTTGCCATTTGGACCAGATTATTATGGGTTGAATCCATGTGACTCAATACACTAGTTTATAAAATGTCAGTGAGGAGGAGACGGAGCAAGATGGCGGAGGAGTAGGAGACCTGGATTTCGTCTGGTCTCAGGAATTCAGCTGAATAGGGATCAAACCATTCTGAA